CGTATAAAGTTAAGCACATGGACCTCTGCTATTCAGCAATTCAACTTCTACTTATTTACCCCAAATAAATCAATATTTCTACAAAATGACTTGTGCAAGAATGTTCATTGCAGCTTTACTCATAATAGTTATAAATCCAAAACAACTTGAATGTTCACCAACAGGAAAATAGATAAACAAATTGTGGTAAGTCCATGCAGTAGAATAGTATGTAGCAAAAAAGAAACAAATTACTCTTTCACACAACCATGTGGGTAAATCTCAAAAACATTATGATGAATGAATCATTCAGGATACAACATTTCATGCTTTATGATTCCATTTATGTGAAGTTAAAGGGCAGGCAGAACAAATTTATGAGGATAGAAATGGGAATAGTGGTTGCCTCCGGTGGGATCAAACTGGACAGACAGAAACACAAGTGAGTTTTCTAGAGTGATGTTAATGCTCTATACTTTGAATGAGGTGTTGCTTACATGATTTAACACATTTGTAAACATTCATCAAAATGTACACTTAGGATCTGTGCATTTTACTGTATACAATTACATCTAAGGAACTAATATAAGGATACCCGTTTTATGTTAGGCACTGTGCCAGGCCCTGGGGATAGGAAGATGAACAAACACAGACATGGTCTCTGCCCTTATGGGGCTTAGAGACAAGAAGAGAAAGATATCAATGAAAAAATCATGCACTTGAAAATTTGAAAAATATAGATGAGTAAAAAGTTTGAGCAGGAAGTGGAGAGTATAGTAGGTAAACTCAGATGTGCAAAAAGTGCTACATTCTTTCCTTTTAAATCATCTAAGTTCTCCCCTGTCTGGGTAGGTAGGAAATTCCATCTCCATGTTCTGCTTCACGCTTCCTGGTCACTGTAGATGCATGGTGCTCTGGTGGTATCTGGACAGTGCAATGAAGGCCTCCAGGTTCCAGGCTCTTATGGTCATCATTGACCTTGGTCCTTTTTGTCCAGTGCAGAAATGTCCTTGAAGGCCAGAGGCATGCCTATTTTGGCCTAATAAGAATTCTCTAGAAACACAGTGTCCTCCTTTGGAGGACTTGCCATCTCTTCAGGAGGCTGTCTAGGAGCAGAAAGAAGGTCTCCATTACTTACAGGGTTTCTCGCCCTCTTTTGCTTTCTATTCCTCCCTCAGTCTCCTCTTTGGATAGCTAGCATTATCTCTTCAGTGGGCTTAAACTGCTCGCAGAGATGAGATGCCTTTGCTTTCTGCCCTGCAAAATGTGTAAGACAAGGAAGAACAAAAAGACCAGCTACAGTCCTAAGATGTAAGGAAGAAAAAAAGAAACACATATGTACATACAGTAAAAATATTTCAATAAATTATCCTGCCCAAGATTATATACTAGAACAAAGCATTTTGGTGAGGGAGGCCAGGGAAGAATTTCTCTGAGGAACTGATTAAATTAGATTTTCGGAAGAAGAGGTGGGGTTAGCTAGGTAAGGCAGAGGGTGAGGGAGGAAGTAGGATAGCATGTGCAAAGGCCCTGTGGAGAAGGGGAATGTGTTTCATTCAAGGAATTGCAAGGAGGCCAGGGGACCTGCTGTGCAATGAGCAAAGCAGAGGGGTTCATGCCAAGATGAGAGGGAGAGGCACAGCCAGACTTGGAATGGCCAAGATTTCCATTCTTATCTGAGGGTAAATGGGCAGTTGATGAAGGATTATAAACCCCTTTTTCTATTCCCCTTTTAAAATATATTTATCTAGCATTTTTATTAAAGGCATGGCTGGTCCTCAGTTCTGCTTCTGTTGGGGCTGCTTCTAACTGGAATCAATAGATCAGGAGGGCCACCGTCCTCCGAGATGGGTGCACCCACATAAATGGGTAACGTATTCCAGCCAACTCTTCCTACTGCATATTTCAGCAACTTAGGATATGTGATCATTTTCCTGTTTGATTCAAAGTAGTTAGGTGAAATGGCTGGAGAAATAAAAGTAATTTAGGTTATAAATGAGAATGCTAACCATATGATAGGTTGCTATAAAGGAAGACCAACATTAATGTACTGTAATATGAAATTTGAACTCACAGAGGAGTGAATTATGTACTACAATAATAAGGAGGCAAAGAAAGTTAAATGAGTACTCACTGTAGGAATAGCTATCTCTACAATGAGGTTTTTACACTCTGGGTGGATATCTGTGCATAAATTCCATATGCTTCTCAGGTATCATGTTATATCTAAAGACAGAAAGCAGTTAGTGTCCAAAAGAGGAAAAATATGCTATTAAACTCATATTAATTTCAGAGTTCTGGTTGTAGAACGATTGTGAAAGACAATCATTTCTTGGCTTAAATGTAGTCTTGTGCTGTAATTCTAAGTGTGAACTTGTGAAAATATTGAGTGCATCTGCTAAGAGAAGCAGAATGTAGAGTGAAACTTTGTTTATTTAACCTTATCTTGTCAGTAATAAGGATGGGGAATCTATGAAGAAAGGAAGAGTCTCTCTTAAAATAGATGCTGGAAGTGAGAATAAAATGGAGTGATGTACTTAAAATGCTGAATAGAATCTGTTTTAATTTCTGTTTTCTAGCACCTTCAAGTACTTTAGAAGCACACATTTACATATCAGTCATAAATCAGTGGCTTATTCCAAAAGTATTTTTATTAGGCAATAGTTTGAACTTGCTATCATAGTTTGAATGTCTGTATGTTCCTGAAAGGAATACAGCCAGATGCATGTCTTTAAATACATTCTAGAACTTTTCCCTACCCCAGAATGAATGTCCTACTTTCCCAAGCAGTTCTACCTACTGAAGCTGTGGTTGAAGTGGGAGAATTCCTATGTAGTATCACTGGCTGCCAGACACTAATGACCACAGGGAGCCAGAAGGCCCAGCTGCTGGGCCAGTAGGAAGAGCATCATGCCAGAAGCATGAGTACTGTGCTCTAGTCCTCCCAGTGACTCTTGAAGGAGAGTAACTGAGCTGCGTAGCATCACTGGAGACCTTTGGTGTCTAGCTTCTGCTAAGCCCCAAGTCACTGCTCTGAAATGTCTCTTGAGTTTCTTCATCGATAACTTGACTGCTCCAAACTTTTAATGTTTGGCCTCTGTCTAGCTCCAGGTGCTCATCAAACTTCACAGAGGACAGGCGTGGGGTCCAGGGAAGCCCCTTAGTAGACCTCTCCCTCTTTAAGGTTTGTATAAGTGGTGTCTTGTCCTTCCTTCCGTCAAAGGCTAACTAACCTTCAGACTTACCGAGTCTCTTCCTTCTCAAATATTTTCCACATCCCCCCACCTGTTCCTTTGTCCTGTACAGCTCTGCTTACAATTTTTTTCCCAACCCTGAGAGAACTCTTGACTTGCAGGATTCACAAGTACACATCTTCCTCATTTTGCACATTTGTTCCTCTGTTGTGTATCAGAACAGGCAGGGAAAATATCCTCTGGGCTAGAACCTGGGGCAGTTTCAGAGATTCCAGCTCTCTTCCCTGGCTTTCCTTACTGGGTTCGATGCCCAGCTGCCCTTTATTAATTGCATTCCCTGGCCCCTGTAAGTTTCTATTTAGTATTCTCAAAGGATTTTTAATGCCTTTAAAATGTACTAACTTTTAAAAACTATAAGTGACATGGCCATAGTAGGAAAAAAATAGATATTAGCAAAGGGTAGAAAATAAAACTTCCTTTTATCCTTCCAGAGATTTTTGTGCACATGAACACAGTATCGGCAGTGTAGTGTAGCAGTTAAGAGCGTGGGTTCTGGGCCAGACTCTGGATTTGAAAGTGCAGCTCTGCTACTTACTGGCTGAGTGGCTTCAGACACATTAGTAACCTCTCTGTGTCCCGGTTGTTTCATCTTTAACATGAGGTAACAATAGTACCATCACTCAGGTTGTAAGGATGAATGAGTTAATACTCATTAAGTGTTGAGAACTATATCCAGACTAAAGGAAACTCTTGATAAATGTACTGTTATATTATTTATAAGGAAATGAGATCAAATGACCATATAGGTGTAAGGGAGATTGCATTTGTATAGGCAACAAGTTTCTTATGCCAAACTAAGATGACTGCCACAGTGTTTTTTTCCTGCCCGATAGCTGGCCTTCCGGGCAGCATGAGTCAGCACACTCAAGTAACCAAGGTGTCATTGTCCGTGTGAACCCACGTGATCGCGCTTTCCCATGGCATGTTGCCTCTGTCGTTCAGGGCCATATATCAGCACTCAGCATGTTCTCGGCCATGCTTTCCACCTCTGCTATGTCCCCCGGACAATAAAGAGCATGTCTCACCTGCCTGCTGCCACTCGCCTTTTCTTCCAATTCCCAAAGCCAGCGCTGGAACACAAGCTAGCCACAGCATCCTCCCCACAATAGTACTTCAGTGTGTAGCTGAAATGGAATTTATTTAATGTTTATTATATGAGTTATTTCTAATTTTGTGATATAAACAATGCAGCAACGAATATCCTATTCCATGCCTATGTCTTTCTACCTATTCATGGTTTCTAGAAACAGGATAGGTCAACAGATAGGCATATTTTTAAAACTCTTAAACTGCTAAATTGACTTCCAGATTATACCCATCAGTAGAGTAGGCAAGTTTGTTTGTTCACATTCGTTTCTTCAAGGACTTTATAGGAACTTTACATTCATTGTATTCCACCGCCTAATGTGTCTAACTCTTCTGCATACGTGGTTTTTAGTAGATACCATGCCAAATACTGATTTTCAGATTGTCATAGCAAGGCACAGTCATGAGGTTTCAGGATGTCCCTAAACTAGATGAAGACCATAGGAAAGTCTTGAGAAAATATAGCTAAACCCCGCGATACTCTTAATGAAGAAGTTCTCAAATCTGGCTGTACATTAGAATCTCTAAGGAGAATGAAAAAAAAAATACCAATGGCTAGGTCTTGACTCAATGGGTCTGGGGTAGGGCGCAGGTATTGAAATGATTTTAAAAGCTCTCTAGATGACTCTAATGTGCAGTCTGGGTTGAAGACATTAACAGATTGAATTTCTTTAATTACAGGTGAGATTACCTGAATTCAGCACATCTGTTTCCTTACATCTGCTGAAGGTATCATCTCAGTAATACCATTCAGTCATTCCCTTCTTTTTTTATGAACATAAAAGGAACTGTTTCAAAAAATTGGCAATAGCTTGAAGCACAGGTAAAATATATTCTTGGTTTTCACTTTTCTGTTTCAGTTATGCTGTAGACTGCATCCTAACATTAATCTAACTGCTAAGCCATCAATCATCTCTCTTTGATCAGACCTCTCCCTCAAGATACGAAATATGTCTCTTTTCAGATGATTCCACCAGCTATTATGTTTCATAAGTTGAGTGAGATGTAAATACCATTGGTTCTATTTTATTGCTTTTATAAGACAACCTCAGCACTGGTCATGTTTGTTGGAAATGTGAATTTTTAATGGGGCTCACTGAACCAGAGACTTGACTCTTTTGGAATTTTACAAGTATGAGAAATCTCTTAAGTAATGATTCTCAGTGTAAAAACTAGGGAAGGCACTGGATAAAAATGCATTATAAGAGCATGTTCTCAAGTCTTCGTAAATTTATTCAAAAAAGAAATACAAAGAACTGATCTCCCTATAAAATAACATTTAATCATTGTTTACAATGCGAGAAACAAATCAAATTGACAATGACATGTAGTTTTACCAATCAGATTAATGAGTATGAGAGAGAATAGGTACTCTCACATCTTGTGATGAAAATGTAAAAGCCATTTTGTTAAATCCATTTTGGAGAGTAATCTAGCAATATTTACTAAAATTAAAAATGAATATCTCCTTTGACCCAGAAATTCCATGTTTAGAAATTTACTTTATAGATATTCTTATAAACATATACTAAGGAATATATAAGTCATTTGAGCATTGAGTGTAGCATCAAAACATTGGTAATGACCTATACATTTATCAACAGGGAACTGGCTGAAAAATAAGGCACACCTGACCAGCTTTTGAAAACAATGTGTTAGCCTGGTGTATGCAGAGATAAAATACTCCTGTGATGCTTAATTGAGTGACATAAGCAAGCTACAGAATGGTCTCTATGATTGCACTTGTGTAAATTTGAGAATAAAAACATAAATGTTGTTTTATATTTTTATGTCCTTTTAATCTGGAAGGATAAATGAGAAATTTAAATGATAGTTACCTTTGAGATGCAAAGGGTTGGGGAAGAAGAGAGCCTTATACTTTTAAATTTATATCTGTATGCATTTTTTAAAATTTTAGACCACAGTTATGAATCATTTCTCTTAAAATTAAGTAAAAAATTATGGCAGTTTTGGGGGCTGCTGAATTATTTTTTAAAAAAGAGTAAACAGTCACAGAAAATGCTTTACAAATATTTTTGAATGTTGATGAAGAACACCACATTTGATGGTAAGTATCTGGCACAGTGTTCCCCTTGAATTAATTGTTCTTCAAACATATGTTCTGAAAGTGATCTTCTGGTGTGTGTATGGCAATTGGTTATATTATTCTCTCTCTCTCTCCATATATGTGTGTGTATATATATATATATATATATATACACACACACACACACACACACACACATACATACATACATACATACATATATTTTAATGTCTAAAACATTTCCTTAAGAAAAGTTACCCTCCTGTTGTGTTAAGTCTATACTGATTTGGGAGATGGAAGCTAGGATTAACAGACAGATTTTTCTCTCTTATTCTTTGTTTTTCTACCTTGATATATTGTAAGTTTTAGAAAAATCTCAAATAGAATGATTTGGCATTAGTGTCATTCTCATAGTTTTAATTGCAATCTTTGTCATAAATATCCAGACACTTTAGAAAAAAAGGCAGATCTTTAATTGTAAGTCCTGTTATATATTTTGTAATATATCAAAAGTATACTCCAACCAGGGATATGAACACATCTCTAATGCCAACCTTGTTCTCCTCCCTCTTTCTCTTCTCCCAGGCCCTGTTCCTTCCACTCCTTCCACCAGGACTTCTACATCAGTGTTCCCTATGCTTTTCACCCCAGCTTATACCACCCTGGCCTATGCCTGGATTAGAGAACTAGAATTTTTGCTGTTTCCTTTTAATGCATTCTGCAAAACCTACCAGAATCGTTTTCTTAGAATTTTATTTTATCCTGATCCCTCTGTTCCTGTATCAATAGAGGCTGCCTATGAGGTTAAGCCCATCTTCCTTAGCCTGTACTCAAACTCACTGAAGGCCTAGGGAATTTTTTTTGATTCAACAAAGCACTCCCACCCCTGCACACACACACACACACACACTCTGTCTCTCTCTCACACACAAAAACACATAGACTTACAGATTACTATTGAGTCCAATCCTGAATTTCATGGTCTCTGGAACTTAGTGGTAAGCTATTTGTAAGGTTATCTAAGTAGTGTGATGTAAATTTATACACATGCACACATACACACACTCAGAATACACAAAGACATTCTCCTAATCTGCTTAGCAAAAGGAGACTCAGTTACCCCAAAGGGATGAATTCAACCAGAAGAAACTGACATACCAATGGGTGACATGTTTAAGTCCTTTCCCTCCCTTTTTTGACTAGAAATGAGATGCTATCAAGAAGATGAGGTTAGCTACAGACAATAAAGTAGTTGTAATTTCTTTACTTCTCTGCACGGTTCTGTGTGACTTTGCCCCCTGTTCCACAGGCCTGCTCTTGATAGGTTCTTTGAGAGGAGTGTCTGGGCTTTGTCTCTTTGGAATCCTCCAGTACCATATGTACTGCAAGAGCATGTGTACCCTGTATACCTCTGAGAACAGTTACTTGGATGTCCACTTTCAGAACCCAGGCTGTGAAGGGCTGAGTCCTGTTACATGATCGTTCAGCTAATCCCAGGAAGAATGTGTAAGCTTGCAGGATCTAGGGCCAGGAAGCAGAGGTTTTGATAGCTTATGCGTCTGTGGTCCTTTCCCCATGGAAAGTGCACAGTCATGGAGCTGCCTTTATAGACTAGGACAATGCCCCGCCACTTCCTGGCTGTGACCACCATCTTTAGAGCCAATCTCAATTGTCATCAGTCTTAGGGAAGCCATCATTTTCTCAACCATAAACTAAAAGGATTAGATTAGGGTCTGAATAGCAGCCATGGAGTTCAGAAGCTACTTTCAGTATACAACAGGCCTAACAAAAGTTGTATACTTGGCTGCAACAGCACCGTATTAGCTATTCTGGAGTAAGCACAGTTTATTAGATAAAATTTTCCCAAATGTGGTTTGTGGAGGGAAATTAATAAAAGGGGTCTGTGATGGAGCCTCGTTGGTCTGTATGTCTCCTTTCCAGGCTCGCTTGACGTTCTTCCCTTCAGCCCAGCTGGTCCATGAACTTGACAACACAGGTGAGATACTCTCATTCCACCAGCCGTTTTGTCTCTCAGGAGCATACACACTGTTTTGTCATCTGGGCAGTGCCTCAGTGTTGGGCAGGTATCTTGACCTGTGTTTACCAGCATCATCCACCATCTCAAATCTTCAGGCCTCTTGTGTCTAAAGCTAGAAGGTTGGAAAATGCTGCTCCCATCCCCTGCCTTTTAAAAAAATTCTTAGATCTGTCAGCAGAATTTTCTATGCTTCCTTTTTTTCATGGATGTCTTGTTTTTGTTCTGTGTGTGCATGTTCTTATGTTTTGCATGTTTTTCTCTATGCCATTTTTCAGATTCAACTTCAGCAACATGGTAGCCATAAAATCCACTTGTTTTCTTCTAAGATGCTAATATTTATCTGGTTATCAAATATCATCAATGTACTGGTCACTATAGGATGGCTGCATTTGGCTGTGCCTCTTACAGACCTCTGTAGGAGTGTTTCCATTAATTTGATAAATACATACTGGCTGATAAAAGTACAATTAACATTTAGTAATCAAAAGTGTACTGTAAAGAGTCAGCTGTACCTCCCTTTCCATAATGAACAGCAAAACCTTTTATGTTGTGATGTCTTAACAGTTAGCTGCATGAGTGCTAAATGTTGCTTTTAATTAAACAATAAAGAATGTAACACCCTTTATGGTATCATTATAAATTTTGATGTGGTACAACAATTTGATTCTTTAAAAATTAATTGCCTAGGAGTATGTTTAAGTAGTATTGATTATGTTGGTGCCTCGTGTTGATCTGTGATACTTAACCCAACATTTAAAATATCTTTTTTCCATTATATGTTGTGATGCAAGAATAAAAGCAAAGTACAAAACAAATAGGCACTTGAATTCTAATAGCAATAAGCAATAAATGTCAGGCATCTGGAAATTATGGTTGCAATTTCATCAGAGTACACTTTGTTCTTCTATTATGCCTGCATGAATTTTGCTACAGGCAAAATCTATTACAGATAACAGTTAAGAACCTTTCTAATCTACACAGATAGTCATGGCAAAATGCTAGAAAACTAAATGTTGGAAAATGTAATATTGCAGGGGAAAATTGACACTTGTAGAAAATAATGTGGTCCTATTTAGAACCACAAATGGTAATAATTTCTTTAAGATCATGGTGTGGTAGATGTTGTAGATGTTTCTGTGATGGCTGACCCAGATGAAGGACACAGCACTGGTAATGAATCCAGTTCTGCTGGCTGGTGTGTGTGTGTATAGGTAGATGCTTATCTGTAAATTAAAGGGTGGGGTGTGTGCTTAATGACTGTTACCTGAAATTGTAATTACAAAGTCAGATCACACATGACGTGAGAAGCCTGGGATTTTTCCACTGCCTTTGGGTACATTGGAGAGGAATGTTTCTATTCTGGGGCCACTTGGCTCCCCTTAGGAGAAAGATTAGCTAGTATTCACCACTTTTTATGGCACATAGTGACCCTGGATAGTTGCTTGGTAAATTTACTAACTGAGCTTTCAGGAAATTGGCTCCTGGATATTAACTCAGAGAAATGTTTTTCCTGCACTTAACTCCAACTTAACCTGCCTCATCGAGATTCCAGAGCATTAGAGTTAGAGTTTGAAAATGCGGAGTCTGTCATTTACTTTATTTCCCTCATCATCTTTATCTTTCACATCCATTCAGTACATGTAGGCATTGACTTCTAGATTAATTATCTATCACTGTGTAACCAGTAACCCCCAGATTTGGCAGCTGAAAATAACATGTTTATTGTCTTACAGGTTCTGTGGGTCAGGGATTCGAGAGCAGCTTAGATGAGTGGTTATGGCTTGGGGTCTCTCTTGAGGTTATAGTCAAGATATCAGCCAAGGCTGTTGTCAACTAAAAGCTCAATATCAAGCTGGGGATGGGATCCTCTGCCAAAAGGATAGCCATTAGCAAGAGGTTTCAGTTCCTTGCATGTGATTGACGCGAGGCCCCTGTTCATACCTTGTGAGTCTCTCTGTAGGGCTGTTGAGTGTCCTTACAACATGGCCTCTGGCTTCCTTGAGAGCAATTTATCTGAGAGAGAGGAAGGAAGCCAGAGGGCTGCTATGACCCTGAGAGGTCATACACCGTTACTCTCCTGTATTCTATTGTTAAAAGTGAGACATTGAGTCCTACTTATATTGAAGGGGAGAACTACTCTAGCTCTTGAAGGAAGATGTATCAAAGAATTTTTGGACATCTTTTAAAGCCACCATGCCACCTATCCAGGGCATGCTAGCATGGGCTCCTAGGGCAGACCTGCTCAAGTGGCACCTTGTCTGAAAAGACTTCCTTCACGTCTTGAACCATACTTTTTCTTCTCTCAAATCTAGATAACTTGGCATTTCACCATGTTGGGCCTATTGCCTTTGATTGTGACGAATCATTATTTCATGTGTATATTTCTTTTCTCCCCAATAAAATGCCAGGTGTCTCAAGGTAAGGGTTGTATCTTATAACTTTATCTTCTATAGAGCTCATTCTATGTAAGGCTAAGTCTGACGTCACCATTGTAAGACTTTGGAAAGCTTTTACACAGGGAGGCTATTAGGACATAGCTCACAAGCCTCTTGTGAAAATGTGTTAATGTGTTAATGCATGTTAAGAACATAGGAAGGGATACACAAATTGTAGATATTATCACTGTTATTGCTGTTTATAGTTATTTCACCTGTTCCTAGGATACTCTTTGTTATGTTGAATAAGCTGACTTAGATTCTTGTCCTACCAACTTCCTGTGTGATGTCGAACAAGTGCCCCCTTTTCTTAGGCTCAGTTTCCTGATCTGTACAATAAAGGGGTTGTATCAGATGATTTCTATGACCTTTGTACCATAGGATTCTCTAATTCTGTCTTCATTTACATGGGTATAAGTAAAGAGAGGATAGAGTATCTTTTTAATCTGGGTAAGTTTTGTAGGACATGCCATGCTGAATCTTACAGAGAAGAACTACTATTATACATTAATAGTTATCCTTCTCTACTTCCCTCTGTCCCCTTCTGCTCATTTCAGTCCATCTTTCATCCAAGATCTGCACTAAAGGTGAAGGACTCACTCACTTGGCTGGTACAAAGCAGTGGGGAGACATCAGATTCCAACCTCAGGTCCTTCCTATGGCCCATGGTCACCTCCATGTGAGAAGGGTGTGACCTCTTGGGTAGCTGAATTCACTCAGCTTATCCTGTGTACATGGCAACAGTCTACTCAGGTAGCCCAGGGGAGGCAGCAGCAGGATCATTTGTATAGCTGAGTAGCTCTGGTTGGGTCAAGTCAAAGGGAATTTTCTAGAGTACCTATAGCCAGATGCTCCTTCATACATCAAAGAGACTTAAGTTCATTAAGGACAAGAGCTGACATGATATCCACCAGGTGGAAAGTGACAAGCTTTGGAAGGGAAAGGATGCCCTTAGGCACCTAAATCCTGTTGGTATTTAGTCCTTCCTCCCTTCTCGTCATCTGCTCTCAGACAACAAGCACCCTTGACAAAGCCCCAGTTCAGAGCCTGGGTAGGCAGGACTCAGCCAGCTGGGCCCACCACACCCTCCTGAAGAGAGCCCAGGACTCAGGAGCTACAAGGCAGCACTCATTGTTGGCGCTATGGACCATTCGCTACAAGCAGCCAGGGAATCCCTCGGCGTGGCATTCACGTCTCATCACCCCACTGCTTAAAACCCTCCTCTCAGTTTCTTGATCCACCTACAAAGAAAAAGTGAAATATAAGTTTAGAAAAAATATCAGAAATCCTGATTGTATGTATGCTTTTTAACTCTAATGCTAGGCTTCTGTTCCCAGAAGTAATTAGGACGCATTGTTATTGCAGGTTAAAAGGTGCATGAGGGTAAAACATATTTTCCTTTAACTAAATGTCTCATTCCTAGGCAAGTCTAAACTAAATTAGCCTAATTGTAGCATGTGGCATCTTGGTCTCTTAGAAATTTCTTCTGTTTTACTCTTTGAATGCTGCTTCTAGATTTAGAAAACTTGTTTATTGAAAAGTCAAAAATAGGACAAGGGCAGTTTTTAAAACAGTCGTATATGTAAAGCTGAAACCTGTAATGATTTCCTGTCACACCTAGAGTAAACTCCAAATTTCTTACCATGCAGGTATGTTTTTCATGACCTGGTTGCAGCCCACCCCCTGACCTCATCTCTTCCACCTCCCTTTATTCACTTCTCTCCAGATATATTCTTCTTGTCCCTTAAATGTGAAAATTTTGGTCTTGATTTAGAGCTTTTACACTTGCAGTCCCTTCTGCCTGGAAAGTTCTTCTGCCAAGTCTCAGTGTGGTTGTCCCCCTGTCATTCCAATCTCAGGTCTGTGTGGGCAGGTGGAGAGGTATCTCTGACTACGTTAGGTGATTGTATAACAGGTATAATAAATGGTAACGGTTTTGTTAGTTTTATTAGTTTATTGGCTTATCATTTCTTTCCCTGAAACATGAGCTCCGAGAGAGTAGGGATTATAGCCTGGCTTACTCATTGCTGTATCCCCCGGGCTGGGCCAGTGCTTGGCATGAGCAAATATCCAAAGAACTTAAGCAATCTTGGCCTTGTCGGTTGCCACCTGTGGGACCTTGGGCAAGCCACTCTATTTTTATGTTAAATTAGGTTACAATATCTGTTTGTAACCAAGATAAATAACACATATGTAAAATGCTTAGTGCAGTGCCAGATTCACAGAACATGTTTAATAATTAGAATTTTTTTCATAAAAGACCTGAAACAATGTGTGTGTGTGTGCTCGTGAGGCCATGCAGTAGGCACTGAGTAAGTGTGTGTTGATGGAACAAAATAACTTCCTTGAATTATTCAATTTTAGAAACAGATCCACAGCCTAGGCCTCCTGATTCCCAATTTGGGGCTGGTTGCATCTTTGATAGTTCTCAATGCCAAGGGTGCCTGACGGGGTGGATTGGGGGAGATGGGATTTATAGGGATGGGACATCTTGAGAAATGGATATGTGCTGGCTTTCTGCAGATGTTGCTTCTAAATGTGGTTCTGTCTCTAACTAATGGACATCGAGGAAGCCACTTTATGTCTGTTGGCCTCTGTTTACTGATCCATAAAATGGAGATTATGACACTGATTTTTTTCTCTTTTTCACAATCAGACTTTATTTTATCACCTGCTCTGCATCAAAACAGGAGTCATTTGCACAGTTCTGCCCACATCTTGCGTATGATCTAGTTGGGGAGGTACACTATGAACAGGTAAGACCAAGAACAACACAAGAATCTGTCAGCAGAGTGAGGTTAGCGTAGAACAGTCTGAGTTCAGAATTGGGTACTTTTTGCCACTGAAGGCTGTGATGGCCTAGAATATTCTGGAAGAGAGACTTAAATTGATCCTTGAAGAACCTCACTGGGTGATTGTGAAACTAAGATGGTACAAATGAAACGAAATCCTTACAACAATACAATGGGCTTCATCTCTTCCAGAACCCTCTTTCAGAACCAACTAAAATTCACCCGAAGATAATAGGTCTATTCTATATTCCTATCATGTTTTACATCTGAAGGAAAATGTGAGAGATAAGCCCGCCTTTCTTCCAGTTCCACTAAGTACAATGTGGGAAAGTGAAAGAAGCATCATAATTTAGATCAGAAAATTTGAGTTTATATCTAGACTGTGTTTCTTAGTATAGTGCTTAGGTGGCCTTAAACACGTAGTGTAACCACTTGTGGTGAGCAGTTTATTGTAAAATGTAAAGCTCTATTCTGAATAGCCTATGTGGTAAAGAAATATTCTAATCGATAGACTGTACACTTCCTAATATGTAAAAGATTCCTCAAGGGCAAAACTTACAATATTTAATGTTTCCAGTTTGCATTTTGTCTTCCATACAGTATCTGGTTAGATGACTCAGTGAGCATAATTGTTGATTAGTCCTCAGCTAATCTCCAAATGAATATTTTCCACATTTCTGCCAAAGTCCAAATTCAAACAATTTTGTTTGTTTGGTAAGAGCATCTGGTTTGTATATAAAAGTGGGGATCAGTGGATTCTGGGCATTTTCAACAATAATTTCCAGAATTGGCCATAACAAATAGGTGCTTATTAGTTGAGAAAACTGAGGGGCTGAGTCACGGAAATTTTGCAGTCTTTTTAAAGAGGAGTTTTTTGACCACCTACCTAAAGTAGCCCTCTCCCAATCATCCTCCACAATACCATCCTGTTCTTCTGCAGCACTTACAACTATTTAAAATTACCTTATTTGTTTGCTTGTCTATGTCTCTTCTCCTCTACTGAATTGTAAGATTGGTGGAAGCAGAGCCCTTCTTCATTTTTTATCTCTGAGACTTAGAATAATTCCTGGCACACGGGGGTGATCAAGAAATATTTTAAATTAATGAATTAATTAATGAGTGCAGCCAATGAACTAGAAACTAAAAAAAAATCCAGTTGTTCAGCTCTTCTTTTATTCTAAGGATGACTTCCCCTAGATGCAAGACTAGACACACTTGAGCGTTTCATGTTCATTTGTCAACCAGCAGGGCAGAGGTATAGTATCAGTCAGTATCACTCACATGTGAAGAGGCCCAGTGGAGCAGTCCCAGTGACTCAAGATGATGTCACAAATCCTGAAGATGTGAAAGCAGATTAAACTTACCTCCGCATTTGGGATGTGGTTAGTTGAGACAATCTCAATTTGCTGGTTTTCTGTTTCTTTCCGTAAAAAATTTTTTTACAAATGATATATAGTAGTTGTACATATTTTTCGGGTACATATGAAATTTTGTTACATGTATACAATGTGTAATGATCAAATCAGGGTAAGTGGGCTACCCATCACCCCAAATATTTATCTTTTCTTTGTGTTGGGAACGTTAGAGTTCTTCTCTTCCAGCTATTTTGAAATATGTAATAAATTATTGTTAATTATAATTTCAACACTGTACTGTTGAATACTAGAACTTATTCTTTCTACCTAACTGTAGTTTTGTGCCCATCTTTTCAGTAGAGCATGTTCCCTTTTCAGTATAATGGCTTGTGTAAGAGAGTTACCTGTTTCCCTACTAAGCAAGAAGGATGTTAAGTTCTCTGCCACCAGGGTTTCAAGGGCCATGCGTGAGCTGGAATGAGCAGTGATTAAGCACAGAAGAGACAGAGCCTCACAGTCTGGGGTCCTCACCAGCACTACCTGCAGTGGCTACGTGGCATATAACCCTTGTGACCAATGAAGTCTTTCTTGAAGATTTGTGCCTGGTACTATTAAGTTAATCTGCAGTTCAAAGTTAGTTATGGTGGTAACTTCTATATTCATGCAGAATTCTTCCTTGAATAGAATAATTCAGGGTAGCCTTCAAAGACTTGCTCTGAATCCTTATTGTGATATTCACCTTGAATGAGAATGGCCGATCTGAATAACTTTGTTCAGAGGTGTTGATTATGGGCTGAAGTTTTGTATTTTTATGTAAATTCCATGCAAGCCCTTTCTCTAATGTATTTGACATTAACATAGCTGGATAATTTTGAGATTCTGGTGATTATATTTTTAAATGCACAAAACAAGTAGGTATTTTTCACCAACAGAAAGATTAGAATGTGTTATAAATATTACAGAAAGGACAGCATTCTAGTTCAGCTATCCTGCTACGGATTTATTTTCTCTGAACCCTAGATCTAAGCTTCGTAACGGTGTACTCACAATGTCTACCTTGTCTATCACCTCAGGCCATATTCAGTATTTCCTCACTTAAAATCCATAAAGGTTTGGATGATCACATCTCTGCACACGGCGGTCCTTTGGGCATCCCTTTGATTTCTTTTGAGTCAGGAGATGTTAGAAGTCGAAAAGGCCAGAGATACATATAATTCAGCAGTGCCCAAGCTCTTTAATGTTGACTGACTGTGTCCAAGTCAAAATACCCGAGGATCTTTAAAAAAACATATAGATCCTAGGACTCCCCCCACCCCATGATTCTGGTCCTGGAATCTGTATTTTAAAGCTGGATTTGGGAGCAGATTGCCTCTAGCTCAACACTCTGATTTTACAGGCAGTAAATTGAGATCCACAAAAAGCAGATACACAGCTAGCTAGTGACTGAGCACATGCACCTCCAGTCTTTTTCATCCTGAATTCATCAGCATTCTTTAATTATGATGACAATGTCATGATCAATAACAATTCTGTCTGCAACTACCACTCAACAGGTACGCCTACTGTGTACCTCTTTTGTACTGCCCTGAATGCCTCACATATATCATCATCTTTCATCCTCTTAAGAACGCTGATGAGCTATGCCTTCTCTGCTTCCCAGAATAACAAGGCCTCATAGTGCCTCCTTACATAACCAAATACCTTTAATGACATTTCTGTGCATTTTTGGAGGAGAGTGTGAGCGACTGAGTCAGGAAGCTGTTAATACTTCCCACTGGGAGCCAGACCTGGAGGGTTGCAGTGTCTGATTTGAAGCAAGAAGATAATAGACCTAAATAGGAGGGGAAAAGGCATTTTTGAAAGAGTTTAAGCGAATTGTTGTCTCCTTTGTTCTGGGGCTCCCAGAATTGATTATTGTTATTTTGTTTTAATCAGAAGCTAAAACTTTCTTGATACTCCTGTGGGCGGGAGGTGGGGGGAGGGTGAATTCTCAGCAATAAAATAATTTCCAAATCCAATCAAAACAACTCTCTCACCCCCAAAATTCACTTAATAGGGGGATAGGTTATGCACTGGTGAAAATGGAACCTGAAAATCCCCCAAGTATTAATATTTTCATGATAAGCCTTCTCGGAGACACAGAATTCCCTGAGCTGGTTTTTCTAACAGAGTATCTAAAGAAGGTTTTCCAATAGCTTTTCCTTTGTGAGTGTGCATAAAGAGATACGCATGTTTATGGGGAAAGAGACCATGGCTATATGTGTGCATGTGTGTTTGTATGTGTGTGTGCACAACTGAACCTTCTCAAAGGTCTCCCTTCTCTCAGGGACTGAGGCAGTGACTCTTCCCAGCAGGAGAGCAAGCAAGCAGGCCCCCCAGGATTTCAGAGCTCTGGGCACTAGGCTACCTTCGCTCAGTTTGGCTGATTTCCAGTGTCTTCAGGTAACTCATTCTTGGCTCACTTGATCTTCTCCAATTCTCAAGATATTTTTCCCCTTTAAGTTAGTTATATTTGGTCTTATTATCAAACTAATAACTTTGTTAATGTAGACTTTATTTTTTAGAGAAGTTTTAGATCACGGAAAAATTGAGCAGAAAGTACAGAGTCCCCACAAACTCCTCCCCCCACCACAGCCAGCCTCCCCGATTATCAACATCCCACACCACAGTGGTCGATTTGTTATAGTCGATGAACCTTCATTGGCACATCATTATCACCCAGAGTCCATAGGTTATATTAGGGTTTGTTCTTGCTGTAGAAAGAGTGTAAAGTAATACATTCTTGGTGTAGAAATTTTTTATTGTAAAAACTTTTAAAAACTGAAGATATTAAAAGCACCTATAATACTACACCTAAATTTAACTACTGGTAACATTTTGGTTATATACATCACTCATCTGTGTGTGTGTATGTGTGTTTGTGTGTGTATGTGTATGTTCTTTTTCCTTATCCAAATAAGATCACATTGAGAATACCATTCTTCCATTAACATTAGATCTAGAATATTTGTTGACATTCTTAAATATTCTAACCAATGATTTTTTATGGCTGCATATTTCTACATTGAGTATTTGATCATGTTATTTCTACCCATAAATTATTATACACATTGATGGCATGAACTTCTGTGCATGTTCTCCTCCCTTAGGACAAATTCTTAGAGGTGGAATTGTGATTTCAAAGGGCATTATATCTTTACAAGGAGCCAGCCAGTCTCTAGAAAGGGTCCACCTATGTGCAAAGAATGATAGCACTCTTTACCCACAAACTCACCCAAACTGATCTTTTAATTAAAAAAAAAAAAATATATATATATATATCAAAAACAATAAGAAAAAATTTATATCAATTATAAAAGCAATTTTAAAACATGCTGTCTTAATTATAATAAACTAAGGGGAAAAACTCTTTTAACTACATGGCCCCAAATATCTAGTAATTTAAATGAACCCACTTAACAAGCACCTTCTAACATTGTCCTAATTGTCGGGGCCATTCCAAGGGTGAATAAGTCATTCTGTATCCTCAAGAATTTCATTAATTAGTGTGGAGATAGATGAATATGAAACTAAGTTATGTGATGTGCTACATTCTTTATACACAGTTGG